TGGTCACTGGAGTGACCAAAATCGATACATCGGTCGGGATAGAGCTTTATTATTAAATTATATGACTTGTGTGACTACTTTGCTAGCCCTTTACTCGTGGAAAACACCAATTAAATTTAATCATGACTTTTAAGAAAGAAAGCTGTTGTTAATAGTGTTATTATTGTGTCATTTATATCATTCATGCCCATACATATCCCGAAGAAAGTTCTACAAAGATTGAGACCATTACGTCATCGGAGATTTGTCAATGGCTACCACTGATGGTGCAATAATACAGTTTGTGTTGATCAAGTGATGTGATGTCTACAGTAAGAAAAGACTCATCAATGACTGCTTTGGAATGTGCACTGCATTCCGACTGTAGTGCTAAGCAAACAGTTAAATTTTAAAAGCGTGGTTATAAGATCTCACAGATCTTCTTGTTTTTGTTCGTTTTGTCGGTGACCAGACCCAAACTTCCTCTCGGCCAAATTTTGAATCACGCACGGCGTGTGTTAATTCGCCAAAAACTGTTGAAACATTAATACAAGGAGAATTTTACAGATATTGTTTTCTTTCTTGTGGGTAAAATATATTTTCTTTTGGTTTTATCGAAGCATTGGATTCGAAGGGAATGATAAACACGCTAAAAAAAGGTATTACAGTCATGGAATGTGCTGACATTGTAGCTTTCACTTTCGCTACGTGACAAATAAGATCGTGTTTACTTTGCAAGTTTATTTCAGCAAAAGAGACGGTCACTAATTTATTTGCAATTTGTGAGTATTTCTTATGGTTTTAGGCAAATGAAGTAAATTCTTTGGCTGTTTCATCGCAGCAAGTTCGGTGATCAGAAGGAAAATTAAATATTTGCAAGCCAAGCAAAGAACGGGTCAGATCATGCAAGGATTACGTCATTGGTAGGGAAATAACCACCGTACTAAACATAGCTGTGGATAACATAAGTTTTGAATTACATGACTCGTGTGACTACTTTGCTAGCCCTTTACTCGTGGACCAGTTAAATTTAATCGTAACTTTTAAGAAAGAAAGCCGTTGTTAACAGTGTTAGTATCGAATCGTTCATATCGTTCATGCCCATACATATCCTGAAGAAAGTTCCAGATTAAGACCATTAGGTCATCGGAGATTTCACAACGGCTACGACTGATGGTGCATAATACAGCTTGTGCTGATCAAGTGATGTGGTGTCTACAGTAATCAATGAATCATCAAGGACTGCTTTGGAAAGTGCACTGCATTGCAACTGTAGTGCTAAGAAAACAGTTAAATTTTAAAAGCACGGTTATAAGATCTAAAAGACCTTCTTGTTAACAAAATGACGGCCACCTCTTGGCCTTTTCGAAATGTCTGTGAAGAGGATTAAGATAAAGTTTTGAATGACTTGTAGATTTATACGAAAAGAGCTAGATTATTCGCTCTCAATTCTATGCATGATACTTCACGAGGGCATAGCCCGAGTCAACTATCACGCGATAGATATCTCGAGCTCATAATCTAATTGTTTATTAATAGAATTTTACTAGTTTACTAATGCAAATGCTGCAATCTGATTGGCTGAGCTACTCGTATACTATCAGCCATTAGAGTGCAGCGGCTGTCAGTCATCCCCGAAATGCGATGTTTTTATCGTTTTTCTGAAGTTTTGGAAGAAAGTTTAGATGTACAGTGGATAATTAAATTCCTGAGAAGACTAAAAGAAGGACAGTAATGGTTTCTTGACTTTAGAAACTTGAAATTATTGAAAAAAACTGGTGCGCGTGGGTAAACAACTGCAAATTTACCAAGGACAATTCAATATGTGCGATTTTGTTAAAGTGTAAAGTTCAATAATGCGGTGAAAAATAATTAGAAACCGTTATTTGTATTAATTTCAGTTAGAATTCTACTAAAACGATTAGATTATTCGCTCGAGATTTCTATGAGGTGATAGTTGATGAGGTCGAAGGCTGAATCAACTATCGCCTCATTGAAATCGAGAGCTCATAATCTAATTGTTAAATAGAAACACCATTTTTAACCAATCAGCACACGTATTTTCTTAGGACTGTTTTCTAATTTAAATTAAAACATACGAAATTGGTTGAAATCACAGTGCTAGTGCGATCCCACATGTACCCAATGTCCCTACCACTTAAGCTGTGCGGTTACTGGAGTACTTTCATCGAAAAGCATGTAAAAATATTAAAACATCAGAGTATTATTCTGATGCTGCTTCATACGCGAGCAAGCATTTAAGCTTGAGGACGTTAAGCTTTATACCGTAGATCAAAATGCTCCAAAAGCTATAAAACGCCATGTATGATTAGCTGGAATATTTGGGCGGATGACTGATTAATGTGTGTCATGGTTCCAGCTGACAATTTTGCGGAAGACTGCGAGTTTATTATCTGCTCAAGACTTCCAGCGGTCTCAGAATTCAATGAAACACTTTCCACGATCACAAAATTGCAAAATAATACAACAGAACACTTTCTGAGCTTGAGCCTAAGCTTATATTTTTGACACTTTGAACCAAGGAACAGCAATATTAAAGCCATTCGAGTATCTCACCTTTCTCTTCCGTTGTACTGTAGCGGACGATAAACAAAGAATCCCAACCAACAGTACAAGAAGCCTTAAAATGTAAAGTTCAACGTCCGCCATCTTGGGAACTGATACAGCTCCTCCGTCACGAACCAGGAAGTCATGTGATTGTCATGACTATTGGGAGCTGGGGGAGGGGCCGGTGTCACAGTGATATGTGTATCCCCGTGATATGTGTATTCCCGCACACATATCACTAGTGATATGTGTATCCCCCGTGGGGATACACAAAACACTGATACGCGCCTGGGCATTCAACGAACAAAATGGCGACTCGATTGCGAGGTTCCAACGAGCGCTGTAAAGAGTAGGAGAAACCAGAAATGAATTCGCGCCCAACGGAGCAGATTAGGATTTCTTGAGTTTGGTTGAGTTCC